TTTTACACAAAAATGGCAAGAAATAAATTGTAATACACTTTTAAGACAAGACTGAATCTATGTTTTAATATCAATATAACTTTGAAATTAAATATTTTCAAGTTTTATGCAAAGCAAGAAAGCTTTCTAAAATGGAGGGCTCTAAATTTTCTTTCACATAGGTATGTATGTAGAGATGAACTGTGCTTAAGAAACGCTTTGTGGTGAAAGTTGGAACCTGCTCATATTGTAACATCAGAGTGTTAATAATAGGTATTAGCAAAACATTACACTTCATTTCACAAATCCTAGAAACTAGCTAAATCAACTAACATCTTTCTCAAAAAGAGAATAATGTATCCTGGGTAAACATAAACATAAAACCTAAATGCCCAGGAGCAGTTAATAGCAGTGGAAAGCAAAGATTTCAATGGAAAGAACTGAGTTAAGAGAATTCAAAACAAACCAAATTTCTGGGAACATTTTTTATTAATTCACTTCAAATAGTTAAAGAACCATTCATGCTTCTACATTTGAAAACTTTTTTTTCAGTCACATATCACAACAGACATCAGAAGTTAATAGGCAAATGTTTGGACTATAGTTATTGTTCATTGCCATTGCAGATACATTTGTAAGTTAAGTCACTGAAAATAAGTCACAGCATAACTAGAATTTTAAGAAACTTCTCAAAAGAGAAAAAGGCAAGAGAAATGAAAGTATAAGTATGCTATTAAATCTTGGCCACAGTACTTCCTTTTCCTGTCTAATCTCTGATTTTCCCCATTATATATTTTTTTCAAAGGATATATACTGTCTGACCAATTTTTACTCTATTAAACTTTCAATATATGCTACTCAGATCAAAACTGTGGACAAAATTCTATATAGGGGTTTTGGACATACTAAATATTGAAATACTTAAAAACAAGCTTTAATTTGTCATAAAGGCATTGATCCATGAATTACTATCAAAAAAGAATATGTTTCAAATAATATGGCGTTTTCAATGAATGTTGTAAAAAAAATGTGACTCTAGGTATAAAGTAGAATGGGATAAATAAACAAAAATAACATATTTCTGATTAATGTAGCCTTTAACATGCAATTTTTTTCCCCTTCAACTCCTGAAACTATCACACCATCATGGAAGAGGCAACAAATTGTACAGAATGACAAAGCTTGTGTAAGGGCAATAGAAACTAACCAAGCCACATTACAGTGCTCTATGCCTGTGTTCCAAAAGTCACCAAAATAGAAGAGCTGTGAAAAATTCAGTGCTAATGTTAACATAATACACATCAATACATATATCACATAAATACTAAGTGATATTAAGACTGAGTATTAGGAATGATATCTGTTATTCAGAGAACTTGGCTTATGGTTAAGTTTCATGAATGAACATCTCTGTTCATGAAAAATCTTGAAATTAACGTACAAAGTTATTACCCCAAAAATGGAAGGAAAAAGCTAGAACTTCTCAGCTTATCAACACTTACTAGCATTTCTTCTCACACAAATTCACGAATATGTGGAGGAAAAAAGCATTTCTATTCAGTCGATTTTTGCTACCCAAAATGTCAACACAGCTTTATAAACCCCTTAAAACCAAACCAACTTCCTTAGTTACACTACTCTGAAATGATCAGGACTTCCCTCTCATTCAGGTGAGTAGCCACTTGCAAGTCCAATTCTCAAGTGACAGAACACATCCTAGAACTTCTGTTTTCTTCCTATAGTCCTATTTATGACCTTTAAAATATAACAAATGCCTTCTGCTTAAAGGCAAGTTTGACTTTTCTGTATTATCTTGTTTTCTCATCTTTTTATAACTATCATGACCACCGACAGTGGCCAATGACAGAAACTGTTCTCCAAAGCTCTGCAGGTCTTTCTGCTCCATGGTTGTGATATAAGGCCTGCAAAGACTAAGAGAAGGGGGACAACGGCAACTGCCACACACCCCTGTTCTAACAGCAGTGGATGAAGAGACTGCAGCTGCTGCTGATTTAGGCAAATGAGCCCAAAGCTGCTTGCAGCACCTTTCAGACTGATGAAAATCAGGCCATTACAACTGTTTCCTTCAGGTTAAGACAATGTTTGCATGTAAATCATTCCACATATTTAGAAACTTAGCATCAACCTACAAAACTTTCTTCTTTTTGTCTACATTTTCAGACCAAAATATTTACTTTATTTTAGAAAGTGGAGTGTATGTTTTATAAATGGAAAAGGAAAGATAAAACTCAAGGTCTATAGTAAATAAAACTAAAACTAAAGCTTCCTGATATCTAGGTTAGTGCTCTACTCCAGAACAGTTATTTGATATAAAGCTATAAACTCCCTACCTCACCTTTTTCATGAGTACTTTAGGCTATATTTTCTTTATCTTTTTGATGTATACAAAGATAATGAAAATGAAGGCCAGAATTACTACGCTGTTCTTACTTACAGTTGAAGGAAAAGAAAAGTGTGGCGTTTTTTAAATAAAATGTATCAATTTATTTTCCAGTAATGGCTCGATGCTTCTGACACCTAACTGAAATCAATTCAGAGCAGGAAGGTCAATAAGATCACATGGCTTACAGTGGGCAGCGTTCTCTAACTATCAATTTCTCCTAGATTATGAATAAAGTTTCTGTAACCCGGACTTCACGTGGTTTTTCTTCCTTAGTTAGCATTATATATAAAATGAAAGTGTTGGACTAGATGATCTCTAAATCCTTTTCCACTCTAAGACTTTATATTTATATTCAAAAGCTTTTATTGTGGCTTCTTCCTATCTTTGGCTTAAAACATAAGTAATAATAAAATGACTAAATACTGAGTTAACTTAGTTATTGCTTTGGTTCCAGGTCTTTGAATTCCTTCAAAAACACCTCAACAGGAACCATTATTTCCTCAGTGATTCTTGGGGACAGTACCATATATCACTTCTTTCACGTTTCTTGAGCAGTACTATTTCCAAAAGAATCAGTTTTCTTCTATGCAGGCCCCCAAAACAAAATCACTACAACTAATACAGTAGTAGACATGAGCAGTTATTGCAAAACTTACAAATAGCTTCATAGAAGAAAATCTGATTTTCATCATATACGTAATTGTTCCACCCCAAAAAAGCAATATATGCAAAATTATGTGTAATAAAAATGGTGCATGCATAGGAAGGAGAGGCTCTAAATGGGTAAGTAATGAAGACAATAGTCATTGCACGAAGCACAAGAATCCTTGAGGAACATTTTGAAAATACCCACACAAATAGCACCAAATTTACTCCTTAGGAATTGCAAAGTAACAGATTTAGAACATAAACTACAAATACGATTTTGCAAGGATACAGTAAAAGTCCTTATTAAGTCCATAAAAGAGGAACTATAAAGGCAATTCTTGGCATTTTACCATCCA